AGTGATTGTTACCATCATATTTGACCGGAATGGTTCCAGTCAGACTCATCAATTCCTTCATGGTTCCATCATTGTAAACTGAACAAAAAAACGAGAACAACATTGTTGAGATTATTCATTTAAAATATCCTCATGTTTAAAAAGATAAGAAACGGTTATTTTGCATCGTACCATATTTATCCATCATGGGCACGAGCGTTTTGAAGTAGGCCTTTGCAACGTATATGTCGTGAGCCACAAGCTTGTGAAGATAACTCTTAAAAACAAAATGAAAAAAATAAAATAAATGTACGGTTCCTTAATTATGTTTGATAAGAATAATTTCTGCTTTCAAGTGGTGTCGATCATTCTTACCTTCGGGAGCATTTTCTTAATCGAGTTCTCGCTGTAGGGCATGATCACGATTCATCCACAGGGTAATATATGACTCTGTATCTCTTCGAACACTCAACAACACACGTCTGCCTCCGTCTGTCTGGGATTTATGGACAACCACTCGTCTTTTATGACTCCTGAAAGCCAGTAACAGAGCAGCTTCACAATAAAACACGTCATCTGCCCTAAAACACTATTAACTAGGCTACATGACTCGAACAAACAAGAGTGAGACGCAGTATAATGTTGGACTAACAAACCAACATGGTTTTACTTTGGCTATATTAATGATTTATGTGTTTTCTTGGGTCAGGATAAATACTTACGATCCCCCTGCTGATGTGTTGGTAACTTTACACTTAATCAAACCTAATAATCGTCTTTGCAAAGTGCAGATCAATAATGATATTAACCTGTAACCTCTATTAAACTAATGCAGTCCAGTGGAACCATATGAGTCAATGGAGACTGGCTGTCTCACTGAATGTAGCAGGTTTGATTATATATTTGACATGTGTTCATATATAATTAGACGATAAAGTTAAATTACTTACTCGTAATTATGCCGTGTTGAGGTGCTGACTCTACTATACAGTATTACACACACAGTCCATGACTTCAGAGGACTTTACATCAACTTGCATTGATGCTTTAACCTTAAATATAGTTACCTTACCTACATCTAAACCTAATCTTGAAAACAGGTCTTCCCCTTAAACTTTGATAATCTATGATGGGGACTTGTCTTTTTTGTCCCAATAAGAAAGACAAGATTTAGGTTTACACAACATGAGTAACACCTGGACCACACACACACAGTTTGCGCAGCTATTCTTATTAGGACCTTTATTTCCATTTATCAATGAAAGCTGAACCAAAACTTTATCCCGACTATAATGAATTCATGCCTAACTTTGACCGAACCCTTAACAGGACCTCAGAACGTCCATCAAATATTTGTTTTCTTTTAATAACTCAGAAGTTTACTTATACACTTAAGAGCAGTGAGACAAATATCTATCAAATATTCAGCTGATACCAAGGCAGCGATCTAACGGGTCAGAATCTTTTTCTCTCCATACATATATAAATGTTTTGCTAAGTTTATCAAACTTAAATAGGTGTGTCCAGTTCACGTGTAAAACCTACAGTAACAGCTCGGCTGAAGGCAATCACAACATTTATGACCGTCCTCTGAACCTTTATCACGATGAACTTCCCTCGTTGAGTTGATTACAATTTAACCCATGTGTTATGATCCTGCCAGGCGAGCAGGGAAATTTTTTTTGCAACATTTAATGTATTATTTTGAATGTGTGGGAAATCAGTTAAACCATTTTTGTAAAAAAAGAAATAAAAGTTTTCATCTATGCTGTTAAAACTCTCAAAAACAATACATAAAGCAGCCTGTAGGTGGCAGCAGATCTTAAATCTGAAAGGGAGCTGAGCGTGACAGTTGAAAGTTCAAGACACGGTTTCATCTTTAACATCTTTATTCCTGTCCTGCAATACATTTGCCACATTTTTTTTTAAAGAGTAAATACATCTTAAATAGCTAAACAGTTGACATTTTCACAAATTCCTTCCACGCCTCCATTCCACAGTTTGCAAGGGGGAGAAACGAGCCCTTGAGCACACTGTATTCCTTGTGCAAAACTCCCAATGGTCCGTACAGTCTTTGTCATGCTCGCCAGGTTTTCTGACACATATACTTGTGGTTTGCTGGCTAGAGTATCACCGTGGAAACATGACGCTTATATTCTAATGTGATGGGAATTTGAATGCATAGATCTTTTGGGAATTCTATGGTATTATTATGTATGTGTTGTTTAAAGGTCGACAGGGAGATGACACGCTATTCGGACTGTAAGTACATGTTACAAACTCTTTTTCTTCCATTGAAAGTGTTTGAGTACGACGGGTGAAAAATGAAAGTTAGGAACAACACAGCCCAAAAAAATGGACCAACTCCCGCATTATTTCAGTATTGTAATTTTTTTTTTTTTTAAACACAACGCTTCTTGAAAACAATATTTAAAGACTCAAACACATTCACAGTTCAAATCTGTTGTCTAAGCAGAGGAATTAACTCATAAAAAACTTGACCACTATCATCCACACAGTTACTAGACTGGTCATATTTTTTAGCAATGTTATGTATGGAAAAAGAATCACTTTACCTGTACAAAATCAATAAAAAACACAAACTCTGTGGAAATGAAACAACGGCAAAACAACATTTGACATCTTTCATGGAGGAGGAGGAGGCGCGGGACATTTTTAAGGTTTGCATCTAAAGGTTGTTGCCAAAATCTGCCTCCAGTGTTGGAACATTATTATACATGACCAATTATCAAAACTGTGAAAGTAAACTGTATTAATTATGTTTGTTATCGTCATATATCCCAAAGGAACAGAAATAAAACTTCATGAACATGAGAGCAAGACAACTTGGCTTGTACTGGGCGTTTCTTGTTTTTCAGTCGTGTTAAACAGGATCACATTCACATGCTTTTACAGAGAACAAACCCCCCCATATTAAAAATAATAATAATAATCAGTGTAGTGTTTTTATGGGCTTGTCCTGTCTTTCAATTTCTGTACAGTGCATGTCTAAACTCAACACACTTCTATATCTTTTTTTAGTTGCACACAATAGAACATGAACAAAACAATGCAGCAAGCAGAACATCATAATCATCTCAGGTAGAGCTTGCTGCACACATGAGGTACAAACTAGATAACATAAGGCCAAGTGAACACAGAGCAATCTTTTTTTCATTTAGGCAGCAAAGTTAATGCAGTTGTGGAGAGCACGAGATAGTCAGTGTTAAAAAAAAAGCAAAGATAACCCAACATCCATCGCTTACTATGCACAACAGCCCCACATATAAAGTATGTATATATGGTTGTGACATGATTAGCACCTGACCTGTATTTGAGTCTTTGAAGAGCTGAGGTTGCAGAGACAGACGAGTAGTTTGAGGATAGCTTGGTGTGAGGGAAAAACTGAAGTGAGGCAGGACTTGTGCATTACAAAGCTTTCTTGTGACATCCGTAGCCCTGGTTTCCAGGACTGTCCCAGGACTGAGGAGACCCTTACCGGACCCCCCCCCCCCACCTTATCCTGAGCCTTATTATTAACAAGGAGCGATCCTTGGAAAATCTAAAGCTAACTGTAATCACCATGTAGTAAATAAGTTATACGCGTTCTGCAGTTACTGGAAAGAAAGCTGAAAAAAAATAAATCACCTAAAACCATAATCTGCGTTCATTCATATCTACAGGTTGCCTCTCCTGCAACTGCAATGATGACAACTACATTTTCATGCACTGTACCTCTCCTCCCTCCACCGAAGTAAAACAGGAAAATAAGTAGTCATGAGAGGTGGTTTATTCCCAATACTTTGTGTTCATTGGACAGTTAAGAATCCTATTGCACCAGAACCTACGTACACTAGCTGTTACTATTATTATCAATTCACAAAGACAACTCTTAGCAATGAAACATCTGCAAGGAGAGAAGGCAGCTGAATTCTTGAAATTCATCAATCTTTATATTTTCCATTTGAGATATCGACCCTGAAAAAGAACTTCTATGTCAGGCAAGTCATGAAAAAAAAGTCAAACCGGGTGTCGTTGGAAACAAACACCCTTGCTCACATAGTGCTCAGGGACTTTCGAAATCCTCCAATCACCACAAATGTTCCATATCAAAATCAAAATTTTCGGCTAACTGTTAAACAACAATGACAAATAATAGTCTTTCCCACGTCAACCTCCACCCCCGCTAATCAGTATGATGAGGCCAATCGAGGAAAACCAAAGGCAGGCGGAGTCAGGCGTAGTCAGGCAGAGATGTAAATTCATGTAAGAGCTGTTAGGGTAACTAATTGTCCATTCCAGTCCTTTCCATTTCAGTCAGTCGGTCGGTCCTTCCAGTGGTCAGGCAAAGGGGAGCGGGATTAGGCAAATGTAGGAGGGCGGTTGGTGACACCCCCTTTAAGACCAGTGTTGAGACTGAAAACAATAAGTTAGCTACCCAGCGAGGCTGCACTGGAGTTGACAAAGAGTCATTAGTGGTGTAGCTCACAGGTCGACGTGTGGACCAAAAAGAAACAAAAGGGACCAGACCAGGCCACTTGATAGGCAACAATCCTTTACATAAAAGGTCTATGGTTCAGTCAGCTCTGGTTGTTTCCTTGAGAGCGTTTTGCTTCGATCGTCCTCTTTTTAAAAAAGTTTATATTTCATCATTGAGTTGTTTTTATCTTCCTGCCTTTAAGTCCATGCTGCCGCTACGCGCCGTAGCATTTATTCTCAACGTCCAACTGTAAGCTGGGGACACAAGAGGTGGACAGACGTTAGTTTGTTTGTTGTAGCTGAGGTTTATGCAACATTTGTGTATAAAGCTTTAAGAACGAGAGAAACGTTTGCATGCTTCTCTCTTTAGAGCCGAATGAGGCGTGTTTAACATGTTTAACACGATTGTTTGGAGAAATGTCTCACCTGCATCACGATACCACACAGCGACAGCTCATACAGTCCTGACCGCTCTCATCAGGTGGGTTCAGCTTCCTCAGTTTATGCTGTCTGATCTCTCTGACCAGTGTGTAGAAGGCGTCCTCCACTCCCTGCAAACACACACACACACACACAAAACGGCTTCAGCAAGATCTGGACACAGTGTTCAATTATAAGTCGAGTATGCTAGCCATCAAGAGGTTACGCAACATTACCATGGCAACCCTGATCATTTCAGACACCCTCAATCAAGAAATCATAATCACGAAGTTATCCCTTAGTTCTTATGCATAATCTAGCTTTTGAATGAATGTACCTACATCAAGTGTGAGAGTGGGAGCTGTGCAGTGTCTTGTCGTTAAAATACTGTAGCTCTGTTCTCAAACCAAGGTAACCTGGCTATGAGTCACTGCCTGCGGCATAATAAAATGTTCCCAGCAACACAAATCACATCACACCGTGGGGCCTTTCACCGCTCGTCATGTGCGTGGATACATAACACAGACAAACAAACTTTTACTTGGCTTATACTAGCACACTCGATTCTAGATGTACCAGGTAAATGTCTAAGTTTATAGCTTTGTTTGTGTGTGAGAGAAAAAGAGTAGGATGCTTCCATAACTGTGCACGTACAGAATGTGGGTGTGTGCTTCTTGTTCACCACCTACCTGTCGTGTCTTGGCAGAGGTCTCGATGTAAGGGATGCCGTAGGAGCGGGCGAGTTCCTGGGCTTGCCTTGTGTCCACAGTGCGTGCTGGGAGGTCACATTTGTTTCCGACAAGCACCATGGGAACGTCGTCCGAGTCCTTTACACGTTTAATCTGTTCTCTGTGAATTTCAAAACAGAGCAGGATAATGTGATGAGTGATGTTGCATTTTGCAAAATTAATGCTGTTTCCTTAACCCATCTTGGCGCTGCATTTAATCAGAGTGACATCTCTCTTGGTTGGAAACCTCCCAGTTTCATAAACAACAGCAGCTAACCACCCAGGGAGCTCTAGGACCCTGAGGAAGAGCCAGGGCCCGCTGGTGCTGGGCTGTGCTGTGCTGCACTGCTGAAGGAGGGAGGTGGAGAGGAAGGGAAGGAGGGGGAGGGATGGACAACAGGCAGGCTGCAAACAGCATTACCTCATCATTACAGCAGCAAGCGCCAAATGCCAGGCAGCCAGGGGGAACTGAGCGAGAGGAGTGGGTCAGATCAATCAGCTCAGCCCTTTCTCCCTCAGCCACAGTGCAGCAGGATGCATCCACCACAGTCAACCCAGCCCATCTGCAGTCAACACTGCTGATGTTGTTAACCACCACATTGTCTCTGACTGTTCATGTCAGCACAGACATGGTAACCTCCTCCAGGTGCATCCCTGGCAGCTTCAAATTAAAGACAAATAAAATCAAGATGCAGAGTACACGCCAACACTGGAGAAGAAGTTTTGGAAAATTGCCTCTGACGATTTAGAATTGACGGCAGATATTTAAACAACAGCTCCATGAATGAATGCTTTCACACACTGCACAGTGACACCATAAGTTGTGTTAAAGCTGTGGCCAAAACAGGCTGAGCTGCAATGGCAGAAAGTCAAAAACTGTAGAGGAGATGGCAAAGTAAATACACAGCCTCTTGCCTTGTGCATGACTGGCAAGTGGGAGACGGATGTGAGGAGAGAGACAGAATAAGGCAAAGATAGAGAACACACTGTCATCTCCACACACACACATTCTTCTCCTTCCCTGTCCTTGGGAGTGCTACCTCTCCCCGCTCCTCTAATTGAGTCAGGATCGATTTCATTGGCTTCATGCTGTAATCCTTCAGTTGGGGGCTAAGCCGTGTTAAACGCTACAGCATGACATCAACCCACTGCTGCAGAGAGCTGGCACACACACGAATACACACCCCTCTCCCTCCAGAGCCCAACAGGGGGCCCTGTAGCACACGCACACTCTGCACTGAACCTTAGAGGAGAACAGAAAGGATTTTGTGTCTGAACTCCATCATGACTGGTCTGTGACCTCACCAGTAGATCACATCATGCTGAATAATAATGTCTTGTCTAATAACTTGTGATGACTTGTCTTTCTTTCACACGTACACACCTGTACTGGTGAATGTCCTCAAAAGACTTGGTGTTGTTGATGGCAAAGACACACAGGAAACCCTCCCCTGTCCTCATGTACTGGTCCCTCATGGCGCTGTACTCCTCCTGACCTGCAGTGTCCAGGATGTCCAACAGGCAGGTCTCCCCGTCGATCACAACTTGTTTCCGATACGAGTCCTGCAGGAAAAAGAAGGAACAACTTTGCTTTTCACATTTGAAAAAAATGCACCAGGAGATTCTGCAGGTCAGATGCAATCAGAACAGGAAAATCTACTGGTGTGTTCAACTGATGGGTGGCGTCTGGGTTGAGTATGCAGGAGGCAGGACATAACGTTTAAATTCTGCTGCAGACACGCATTTTTTGTTTACTGTCTGTTTATCGACACTCCTATCGGCCCTTATCACCAAAAGCTCTTGAATGTGCTTGTCTTTCCAAATTGATATGTCTTTCGGCGTCTTCTTCATGTATGGCACCTTGTTTTTTGTTTATTCTTTTTGATTTCTTTAG